GTTCAGATTAAATATACATCTAAATAAACATCTAGTACCTTTCTAAGATTAAATGAATGATATAGAATTACATTATGCACAGGGTGGATTTCATAGTTTTTTTGTAGACTTTTTTAACTGACCATTTCTTGCAACTAAGAAATTTCATTATGTTATGGGTTTTGTTAGCTTTGGTAATACTTTCAGTCCATGTACATAGTTTGTGATCCTAATTGATTCTTATATGATTTGCCTATCTTGAATAAATGGAACATAGTCTCAGATTTTTGCTTTCACAGAATCACAGAATTATTGAGACTGGAAAAGACCTCTGAGATCATTAAGTCCAGCCAATGTCCCAACACCATCACATCGGCCAGACCACGGCACTAAGTGCCACATCCAGCCTCTCCTTAAACACCTCCAGGGACCGTGACTCCACCACTTCCCTGGGCAGTGCATCCCAGTGCCTGAGCACCCTCTCCGTGAGGAAATGCTTCCTGAGATCCAACCTAAACCTCCCCTGACGCAGTTTCAGGCCGTGCCCTCTCATCCCATCAGTAGTTGCTCGGGAGAAGAGCCTGACCCCACCTGGCTACACCCTCCCTTCAGGCAGTTGTAGAGAGTGAAAAGGTCCCCCCTGAGTCTCCTCTTCTCCAGGCTAAACACCCCCAGCTCCCTCAGCCTCTCCTCACAGGACTTTCCCTCCAGTCCCTTCCCCAGCCTCGTTGCTCTCCTCTGGACCCGCTCCAGCCCCTCAGTGTCTTTCTTGCAGTGAGGGGCCCAGCCCTGCACACAGGGCTTGAGGTGAGGCCTCACCAGGGCTGAGCTCAGGGGCAGAATCACATCCCTGCTCCTGCTGCCCACACTGTTCCTGATACAAGCCAGGAATCGGATCTTAAAACCAGTGTATAACTACCAGACATTTTTTTGAACAATGATTTTCAAACTATGGTGATTGAGAGTGCTCCTTTTCTTTCCCCCCCCCTTGTATGAAACTATCCTAAGCTAAGGGAATATATGAAGGAGGAGACTGGTTTTATTCCCTTGATCCAAGTGTGAGGTGCAAAGTTCCTGCAGTAATTTAGAATTTAGTAAAAGGTTTTACTGCAGACACTTCTCAGCGATTTAATCTCTATCTTGTCCTTATACCTTCTCACCTTCTATATCTTCCGTGATGGCTGCTTGCAACAGCCTCCTAATGACGAGTTATCATTACTTCTTTGTTAACTCATTTGTTTTCCATTAAACTAAGCATTTGTACATCTGCATTTTGAACCTTAGTCTGTTCTTTATCTCATAATGAAGATAAAAAGATAAATTAGTGCTAAAGACATCAATGCAGTAGATTGTTACATGATTTTAGTAACAATTATGCTTCCAGTCACCATGCTATAAGTGTTTCCTTTATTATTATATATTATTAATATACTGTGACAAGTATAATTATGGGTATTTCATTGAGAATTTTGACAGCCAACATCTAGTTTTCATTATGGTCCCATATGGGAATTGTGAACAAAGCAAAATAATCAGTGGCTACAGTATTTTTAAATATTCAGTTTATTTCATAAATAATATGATTTTATGAAAAAAAAAGGAATCTAGAAGCTATTGGATGCTCCCTTTCAAGGGAGAGATTAATTGAAACATTAATTCAGAATTTTTTAAGTGAATGGGCACCACTGCTAAGAATCTTTTGAAACTATATTGTATTTAATAGTTGAGGCACTAGGTGAAAATGCAGAAAGGCAATGTGGATTTTAAATCATCCAGCCACATCTTCTGAGGTTATGCACTAATTTGTCCTTACATGAGGAGAAGAAAAAGAAGTCCTAAATTTAGTAAGTTACCTCTTTGAAAGTGAAGTTGAATCCATTGGTTAACTTGTTTTCCTCTTCAGATAAAGCTTTTCATACTTTTTAATAAAACTGAAATCTCTGAAAAGGGATACATCAAGAGTTTTTTTCAGTACAGTGCAGAATTTGTGAACACCAACTCTTGGTGGTTTTGGAGTTACTAGTGTTCTGAGTATCGTATTGAATCTTCACATTAGTCAGTGGATTTTGCTAAGTTTTAGTGTGATGGAATATTCTCTGTATGTTTCAAAGTATCGAGAAATTGCAGTCAAGAGTGGTTTTTTTGGAAAAGCATATGACAGAGTAAATGCATTTGCAAAATACAGATGCTTTGTATTTTTGATGAAAGTAAACTATGCATTTTATTGTCAATTAAATGATTGATGTGAGCATATGATAACTTTTTAAAGGTGTTTGATTCAGCCAAGCTGAAAAATTTCCACCAACTACAGTATAACAATACTTTTTTACATGTTGAATCTTACCCATCTGCTTTGCTTTAGACTGATGCTACTTGTTTCTAAATGCTGTCCTACATTTTGAGGGAGAAATTCTTTGGAACATGAAGAAGGAAGGAAGAAGACTTTTCAGATGTCTTCATGATACCTTGAAACTACTTCATGGAATAATTGCAGATTTGGGGACATAATTCTACTGTGTGATAACAGCAATAGTGCTCATTATATCTAGGAAATATTTCCTTTACAGGGGTGCTCTGTGAAGAATGAAGATTCATTTTATTATGGTGCCTGACTTTAGACATGCAAATAATAAAAATGTCTTTATTTAAGCTGCGTAGTGTGCTAAATAAGCTTCTGCCCTGATTAGTGCTGTAGCAATACTCTGTTGATATCCGTCCAGCATCTTTTAGGCAAATCCTTGTTTCTTTTATCCCCAAATAATGCTGATCTATTATTTTTATTCAAATATATAATAACAAATTTTTATAGTTATTCTAAAAATATCTTAGTTTCATGAGGAAACAGGCAAATTACTAATGGAAGATGGATTTTAAAAAGATTTGGCTTACATATTAGGATTTAATTGGTCATTTTTTCAAACGTGCACATCTGTGATCAGTTACGATTACTTGCTTATGTGGTCAAGGAATTTTAGGAACTATTGAATCTTGCTGCTTGGAAATCTAAATCTTGATATATTATCCTAGTAGCTGCATGGTCCATAACTGAAAAAAGGTAACTGTCATATCTTTCTGCTTGGAAGTTTGAAATAACTGCTATATCCAAACTATATGAAATATGGCACCAGATCCGCCTCATATTTTTAAGATACTTCACATAGTTTGAAATAATTGTTATTACAGTTTTAAGGGAGTATAATTTTTATGTATCTTGTTTTACTAAAGATTTAATCCCAAGGAAATATCTTTTTTTTCTTTTTTTTTTTTTTTGCATGAAGCTGCAGGTGTTTTCTGTTGAATCATGTCATTTGAAAATACCTAAAAATAAATATTTTTTTCATTACAGATGGCGGAGTTTGACACCAGTTGGACAGCCTATACCAGGAACTAGGTTTATTGCATTCAAAGTACCTTTAAAAGGGGTGTGTATAAAAAGTAACTACAGATTTGCTTTATTAGTATAGTGCAAAAGTAATGAAGAATAGCATGAATATTCATGAAAACTTCAGTAAAAATTTATGAAAAAGTAATTTATTCAGATTTAGCCCTTTCAGTCATGTACTAATGGCTATTCACCTATTATTCTGTATTTTTTTATCTTTTTAAAAAAAAAATGCATTTGGTGTTACTCTTTTTCTTTCAGCACAATTTATCACTATTAAGTGGCCTAAATTAATAATCTTATTTAACATCTTTTCACAGCTTTGTAAGAAAATCATACAGAAGGGGTTATGATATGAATAACAATCAATGTAAGCCAAAATACAATTTTACAGAAATCAAGCACTTATTAAAGGTTATCAGCCACTGCTGTACTTTTAAAATTATAGATTCAGATTTCCGAATTCATAAGCAAAAAGCTTCAGTGATCTGGAGGAATGCAGTGTATTTTAAAAAGAAGTCTTCATAGATTTCTTTTGTTGATGTGTTAATACTTGCTTTAGACTCTCAGTATCTTGGAGTGCCATGTCAATCTATTGCATACACTGTGTCAGATCTTTTAATTCTTTGTGACAATACAAAATGTGGAGACTGTCTTTTTCAAACTCTTCAGTTCTTTGGTGGTTTGAGGCATAGTGCAGATTTGGGCAGACTAGGGCAAATTTGCCCTTCAGTACAAATTAACACAAATGCTCTATAAGTAACCACAAGTCCTACAAGTCCTTGCTTCAGATAGACAGGAAAGAAAAGTTTCTCAGCTCTTTTAAAGTTCATAACCTTAGCAATTAGTTAAGAGTAAATATTCTGTCCGCACTGTTGTCTACAGACTGCACTCTAGTATTCATATACAAAAAATGTGGGGGTCTAGGGTATGTTAGTGCCCATTATGTTTTCAATCACCATTCAGTTCACTTTCATCAGCAATGACTGAAGCAGAATGCTTGCAGGGTTTGCTTCCTGCAGCCACTTTCACAGCTTTAGTCCAATGATTTGGTTCCTTTAACACCAAGAATCTCACATTTGCTGTTGGTCATGTTCTCCACAGTACCAATAGACTGTACAGTAGTCATGTGGCTTTCTACTGAGGCCACCAGTGGACAGATCTAGCAGCAAATATACAACTCAGTAGATTTATAATGAGCTGCTTTGCTATTGGGGTATTTGAGAGAGGATTTTTTGCACAGTCAGTTCCTGTAATTCCACTTGATCTAGCACCACTTTTTTTGCATAAGATGCACTATTCTATGCAGGATTTGTTCACTGTGTGTATTTCAAGTTCCCTGTCACTCTGGATCTCAGAGGAAGATACTTCACTTCTTTCCCCATAGCTCCTGTGATACTCTGGAAAAAGCTCCACCAGACATTCTCAGGGATTGTTTATATCAATATATCACAAGTAGGCACTTTACATCAGTGTATTACTGACGTCCAGTCCTACTGAACTCACTGGGGCATAGATCCCTGATCTGTGAAGCTGTCTTTGAACGCAGACAGATATAACGTCTGGGACCCAAGAAAACAAAATCTATAAGAATTCTGTTGTGTCAGTCTGTTCAGTCTCAGCTATGCAAGTTATAGAAATGACAAGTCTACCAGAGACTCTGGGCCTTGTCTTATGGAGTTTGTGGCAGAACACACATGAAATGCATAACTGGCTAAACTGTGATGTCTTTGTGAAGACGGTGAAGGTTGGTAGATCTGTCCAGAAATGCTGAAGACTTGATTGGTCGTAGTCTGCCAGAAGTCCTAGTAATAAATTGGTGGAACAGAGCTCGTAAACATGCAGAAGTTTCCTTCTTTGTTACCTATTTAGGAAATTGATAATGAACGATTTCAGCCAAAGGGAGAAAACATGTTTTGAGCATTTCAAGACTCAAGGGTTATTGTTTTAGCAGAAGTGCTGCTAGTAAAGGCTTTAAGATCATGGGTTTATCTGGAAGAATTTTGTCCTTCCTTTCAGATCATCATTCTAATGCTAACAGTAGCATTGTAGTATAGTAAGGACTGGGCAAGTTCTTTCCCATGGTATTAGTAGGCGTTTTAAGATTGATACAGATTTCTATCACTCTCAAAGCCCAGTTAAACACCTAAACTATGGAATACTCAGTTTTTCTGAAAATTCCAAATAAAAATATGGTCTTTCATGACACATTTAACTGTTTACTCAGTCAAGCAGTATATTTAGAGATAGTTTATTTTAGTGAATTGTATTTCACCTCAGTTTGTGTGACTTCACATAGTAAAAGGAAAATTTCTTTAACATTCTACCATGGACCTTTCACACATTCACTGTTGTCACCTTGAAGTTAGTAAAGTTCGGTTTCAGATTTTACTAAAAGTCACTGCTGAGTAGTGGAGAGATAACTGACTCATGTTCATTTTGTTTGAACTTCAGCAACCACCACTGTTTTTTCAGCAGTGCGCCAGTATCTGAAATACAAGGCTGAATATTTCTATATGCTTTTTACCTACTCTTTGTAGCTCAAGCTTCCTAATCACATACCAGCTGTAATAGGACTGTCTTGCTGTTTATTCTTTAATTCGGTTTCCTATCTCTGTTTCCAGACTCAAGATAAGTGCTTGCTAGCATCTTAGATTATAATCCGTACAGTCAAAAGAAGGAATGGTTAGTTACCCTATAGCATCTGTGGTTCTAAGAGGTATGTGGTCTGTGGCTGCCTTTCTTTCCATTAGTTCTGAGTCCGGTCTGCTCGAATTTCTTGTTGGCAAAGGAACTGAGAGGTGGTTGAGGCTGCTGCATCTTTTACCAATGTCTTTATTGGTTATGGCTGAGCCTGTGTCAACAGGCTCTCACAATGGACAAGCACACTATTCAGAGAAAATCCAGTCTTGCATACACAAGGCATTTTCACACCTAGAGTGAAGAACACATTTCAAAAAATACAGCTACTGTAGGGTGAGTAAGCATTTTTTCCCCACTGTCTCTGACAAGTGAAATTAATTATTCATGACCCACCAACATGCAGCTTTCTTAGTCACCGTATTTTGGTCTTATTTAATATTTCCCAGTGCTAAATGACATGCAAGTACACTCTGCCAAAAGATGAAGCAGGAATAAAACTATCTGCGCAACGTGCAGTCAAAACTTTTAGAAGAAATGAACTCTTGTATCACAAATGCTGTTTTATGTGAAATACGCTGTTAATTTTGTGTTACTGTGCAGGACAAAGTATATTTGGGGGAAAATGGATTGTGGTGTTTTGTTTTTTGCTGATGTGTAATTACTTAAAATACAGTATATAAATGCTGGATTTTGCAAGATTTTTGTGTCTAACAAATTAGTGCTTATTTTAATGATTTTTTTAACATTGTACAAGTGGAAACTCACATTTTCATGCTTTTTCATTTGAATAGGAATACACAACAAATTCTTGCTTTCTTTTAATTTGGTTCCTTTTTTTCTGCACAATACACATGGATATGGTGTTGATACTGTAAACATTCCCTTTTGAATACTGGTGTTTCCCTGTCCTAATTAAAACAGCTGAATATTATGAATATCTTCTTATCAGAACCTAAAAAGAAAATATTTTCTATTTTTCATGTAGGCAATTAACCAGAGGCTTACCCCAACCCAGAAATTTACACCAAAGGACTTAATTGCTGCCATGAAAGCCCTAAATGTGGAGCTTGGATTAATTATTGATTTAACGTATACCACACGATACTATGAAGTTAAGGTAATGTAAGCATAATAACAAAATAAGTTACTGCAACCTTTGTTGTAAAGCATTTACACATTTGCTTACCTTGAATTGGAATAGATAAATGAACCATCTAGACTTATTTTGGTTTCCAGTAGAAACTAAACGGTTTATCACAGAGGAAACAGCACCTTCTCCTAGCTACTTGCATTTGGGGCTTATTTCTGTTATGGTAACTCAGAGTAATGCTTAAAGACTTGAGTGTCAGACACCCCAGAAAAGCTGCAGAAGACTTACAGTCTGTGTCCTGAAGGCATTCTCATTTACTCCTAGGGTCTTTTTTTACTGATCTTCAGTGGAATCCACCAAGAAAGTGTCTATTTTTTTTAACTACTTTATCGCTTTCACTTTTTTTACCAATATGACCAAAACAATTGTAATTAATTGGCCTCCTTTTGAAAAGGAGAATAGCTAGCAGTGCTATAACTGAATGCTGATCTTTGAATGTACGTGGGCTGTAAGCATTAAGGGGATGAATATGTGAGTGTATATATATGATTGTGGGTGGGAGGGACAAGCATTGCTAATAATTTTTAAATGGATTAAAATGGAATTTTAAGAATCTGCTCTCTTTAGTTAATGTGCTACCTTACTAGCAGGGATAAATAAGTCTTCTCTAGAAACTGTTCTTTGTTTGAGATCAAGTCTTTAAAGTAGAAATGTAAATAGTAGTTTCTGAGAGTGTATACAGAAGTGTGTCAAGATTGTTTTCAGCTTCTATTCAGGATTTGAATTACAGTTTTATTTTGGCATTATGTTAGATACCGCCTAAGGGGTTTTTATTGATGCAAGACTTCATAACTTTTACCATCTTTTTATTATTATTGCTAGGATTTACCTAAAAGTGTGCAGTACAAGAAACTTTACACTGTTGGACTTGAAGTCCCCGATAACGCTACCATCCTACAGTTCAAAAAATGTGTCAGAAAATTCCTATGGGAAAATGCAGGAAATGGTAAATATCTGCATCTTATGTTGTAAGATCCTCAAAATTTTATTTCAGTGCTGTTTCATTTATTAATTTCAATAGGTATTTATGACACCAGGGATCTCAGACTTCCCAGAGCACTTTCGACTTTGTGTTCATAATAAGATACAATATGTGAACCACTACATATCTTTTTGCATTCAAAACATGCTGTTTGAAAAAATGGTTAGTAACTTAAATGTCCTTCCTAACAGTGTTATATTTGCACTATGTGTCAAAATAACTGCAACGAGACTTTAATCTGTCTGACTCAAATTGTCTACCATCAGCTTAGTGTTGTAGCTGCCAGCGCTTTATGGGTGTTGTAAATAGCACACGGTTTCTCTGATGGCACTATGAACTGATACATGTGAGCAATTTAAGTCTGTTCAGTCTCATGTAGCAGGTTTTTGATTTATGAGTCCATTATTGCTCTCACATCCTAGCCATTCTTAAAAATCACATTACAGACACAGTGTCAATGTTTCCACAGTGTGGTTCTGCTGCTGTTTTAGTGTTTAT